AATCTAGAGCCTACCAAGATTCTTTATCTCTTATTAAATGACCTTGCTCAATCAAATCGCCAAATTTCTCGAAATCCTTCTGTAAAACCCTTTATGGATACTTTGAATCCTTACCCATATTCACATGCCCAACCTCTTTACCGGACAACCAGTAGAATCCTTCGCCGAAGCTTTGCTAACCATGCGACCGCTGATCCGCTCACAGGAGACAACCTCATCTGTGGAAATTACACGCCGACATCTTCCAACGTCGCTGCATGGGGTACAATCACTATGACATCAATAACCTATCTTGAGTCCGTATTCCTTCACCAATTGTACTAGTTCGTTCATTTCTTGTGGACATCAACTAAATGTGCGATAATATCTTTTGATTCAAAGTCATGTTGTATCCTTCTTTATATCAAGCAACTCCTTTCTGCCATATCAAATCTCCCGCCCTATAATAGCCGATATTTCAGGTTAAGCCCGTGGACCCAATCACTGTCCACCAAAGTTCCCACATCATTCCAAACTTTCCTCAATGTGTGTATAAACCTTGCCACTGAACCCATATGCTACCCTGCCACTCTCCCACTTTGGCCAAACCCCTCTTCTTCAAGCAACTATTTGATTTCCGCTTCTTACACCTGGCTTTCTTAGAAATTTAACCACCACATGACACTTCCCACTTGTCCTTCCTCATCTCTTGCTGCCCAGTTGTCGCCTTAATTTAATCCCTATCTTTGAAGCATTTGAATCAACAGATCGTTACTAACTTTAAATCTCCCCGAAGATCATCTTTCTCTAGCCATCAACACTAGAAACACCGGTCCAATCCTGAACCACCGCATATCGCGATCTCTGATAGTCGCTTCCTATCATTTCACAATACCCTGCCCCAAAGGCGAATTAAAGAAAACCATAACACCGATGAACTTAACATATTCAATCAAGGACGACCACACCATGTCGTAGATAAAAATTCCATCCTACTTGAAAACATCAAGCCTCGTTACCCTATCAACCCAAACTTGAACATTTAAAGTCCGATTGTCTTTCCTCTACCAAAAATAAAACACCGAATCTATGCATCGAGCATTGAGTAAACCTCCTTTCATGTCATTCACTGCTCCGACGCATAGGCAAGAATCCTACCATCACATCAATACTGCGAGATAGCCATTCATAAGCACTATAGAAATTTGTACATAGCCTCAAAGCTCGCAGAAGTACAGCTACCAAGGTGAAAAGACAGAATATCCTTCCGCAAGATGGTGACAATAGCCAACCAAATGCGTAAGGAGAAACATTCCGCACCACATCTGTAGTATCATTACAATTACCCACTTCCCGATTTATAACCAGCGCTTCGCGTCACATAAGATTTAATGGAAAGGAAATGAAGGCATAAGCCTCAAGGGAATCAAATTGCACGATGAGGAATCAAGAAGGGAAGTGCTCCTAACAGCCCTGTAGCCTCTCGAGGATAAGTACAGACATCTCCGTACCGATCCGCGAGACTCTACTAGACTTGCTCATGAATCGTGAGACCTAAGGGAACCTAGTGCTCTAATACCATGTTGTCACGACCCAAAATCCACTAAAGGTCGTGATGGCGCCAGACACCACTGTCAGGCAAGCCAACACCAAGAAGTTAATTAAATTCCCATTTTAGTATTTACTGAAATCATTCCTTTTATACATTAAACAATAAATAATGAAATTCACTGAAATAAAATGATATTTGTAACAAAACTTAATATTGAATGATCCCATAATAATCCCAGAACCCGGTGTCATAAGTGCATGAGCTATTTCTAGGAAATTAAATGAAGTACAATGACTGTCCGGAATACAAATTGGACAGAAGGTAAATACTATACATTAAAAGAGAATATGTCGGCTGCGGTTCGCCTCGAGATATGCATCTCACCTAATTCGCCGTATCATCCATGCTGCTATGCCCATTAGGCCGCTAGAGGTATATGTGCCTGCGCAACAAAAAGGCATAACAAGTGTAGCATGAGTACAAAAAAATAACATGTACTCAGTAAGTATCCCGTCTAATCACGAAGAAGTAGAGACGAGAGGTCGACTTCGACACTTCCTAGTGGTCCAATAATGATATTCCAATAATATAGTAAATCAAGGATTTTCATAAAAATGGATGTAACTCGGTAGCATGAGGCAAGTAAACAATTCTTTCGTTTATAGGATATTTCCAAATTCATTTTTCATCATTTATGCATTTATCTCAGGCTAGGGAGAACAAATATCAACATCTATGAATTTCAAGGCAAGCAATACAAACATGCGCAAATCATGTCGAGGTCGTACGGGAAGATCCAACAAATATTTAAACTGTGCACTTCCAGAAGGTTGAATGGCGCGAACCATAGATGTATCTATTTAATCTACCAAGGCGTTCGACCCGTTCCACAATAGATAAACATATTCAATCGGTCAATCAAGAATTCATCAAGGAGAAATTATCCAAGAAAAGACAATTTTTCTTTTAAAAAGTCAAGAAACGATGTCTAGTTTTTTTAGAAATTTATTTACACGTTCGATATATTTAAAGCATTTTATATTGACAACAGGATTTGCAAATATTACAAGTAAAACATGCTTTTGGGTCCTAGACTACCCGGACTTTAAGCATAATAGTAGCTACGCACGGACTCTCGTCACCTTGTGCATACGTAGCCCCCACAAATAGAAGCACATATCCAATTAATTCACCTATGGAAATAATTCCCTCTTACAAGGTTAGAAAGGAGACTCACCTCGCTTCGAAGCCTATATCCCAATTCAGGAACGCGTTCAAACCTCCTAATCGGAGCTGAACGATCCAAAAACTATTTAAATAGGGTGAGAACTAGTCAATACGTGCTCAAAAGTTCATATTCTAATTATTAAACTAATTTTCCAACCCTAAATGCAAAGTTCCTAAAATTCACACCCGGGCCCACGTGCCCGGATTTCGAATTTTTTTTTCAAGAAAGTTGTTACCCATAACCTAAGGATCAAGAATATATTGATTTCTACTCCATTCCATAGCCATTTTAGTGGTCAAATCTCATGTTTATCCAAAACCTAGATTTTTCATCTAAACCCTTGATTTCACCAATTTTTACATGTTAATCTAGCCCTAATCTATGTATTAAAAGGAAAATGAGCTAAATGGTCTAAGTATCGAAATTAATAGCTGTGCACATGCCTCAGATGTAGTATTTGCGACACCTGGTTCGCAAATGCGACACAATCATCGCAAATGCGAACCCTGGACTTCTACTGCCTAGGTCGCAAATAAGACTAAGTACTCGCAAATGCGAACCCTATCAGGATCACAAATGTGATCCAAGCCCAAGCTAGGCTTCTTCACAACTGCGAAGCTTTCATCGTAAATGCGAGTTCGCATTTGCGAACAATCTCTCGCATTTGCGAGACCTGCAACTGGTGCCAAGAACACCAGAAAATCTGGTGTTCTTCCAACTCCTCCCATACGTCCGAAACACACCCGAGGCCCATGAGACTCAGTCTAATCACACCACTCAGTACTATAACATAACACAGACCTGCTCAAAGCCTCAAATCACGTCAAACAACGCTAAAACCATGAATCACACTCCAATTCAAGCTTAATGAACTTTAAAATTTCAAACTTCTACATTTGATGCCGAAACCTCTCAAATCACGTCCAATTAACCTCAAATTTTGCACACAAGTCATATTCGACATTACGCACCTACTCCAACTTTCGGAATCAGAATCCGACCCCGATATCAAAAAGTCCACATCCGATCAAACTTCTCAAAAACCTTCAAATTCCTAACTTTAGCTAGATGACTCCAAAATGACCTACGAACCTCAAAATTCATTTCCGATCGCGCTCCCAATACCAGAATCACCATACAGAGCTATTCCCAGACTCGAAATCCCAAACGGACATCGATAACACTGAAATGCACTTCAACCCAAACTTATAAAATTCTTCCAAAATGTTAACTTCCACAATAGGCGTCTAAACGCTCTCGGGTCATCCAAAACCTGATCCGGACATATGCCCAAGTCCAAAATCATCATACGAACATGTTGGAACCTTCAAATCCTGATTCCGAATTCGTTTACTCAAAAGTCAAACCTTAGTCGATTCTTTCAACTTAAAACTTCCGATATGAGAATTTTCTTTTCAAATCAACTTCAAACTTCCCGAAATTCAATTCTGACCATGCGTGCAAGTCATAATGCCTGAAGCGAAGCTGCTCATGGCCTCAAACTGCCGAACGACGCGCTAGAGCTCAAAACGACCGATCGGGTCGTTATATTTAATCAATTAATTTAATTAATTAACGAAAATTCAATCCGAAGTTACCCATGACCCCCGACCCAGTCCGGTCCGTTTTCTTTCCCGGATTATTTTAAATCTGTTGTCTAATTTTTTCGCAATATTTTCACTTGTTCCAACAGCTATGGCTATTCTGAAAGGTTGCAAACCTTTTCAGAAACAATGCCAAATGAGCTATAAATATGCCTTGAATACCAAAATTTTTACTTACTAAATTTTCTAATTATCTTCTTCTTCTTCTACGCAATATTTTCCAGTGTATTTTACGACCATTGCGTGGTTCGCCGTTTGGTACCAATACACTGGTGAGTTAAATCGTTCTATCCTGGGAGGATATATTCCAGCACCTCGGGTACTTGAGGGGAATAATTTCCTTAAGGACTCACTGTGTATTCAGTGGACTCAATTTATTCTTATTTTATTTTTCAGAATTTATTTTGTCATTCTGGTTCTACTAACTTTCTGTTTTTGTTTTTCCAAAAAGTTTACTGTTTTATTGTTTATTAAAGCATTACAGATTGCATAACAATTTGTACCTAGTATCCATACTTCATTATAAATTTTTAGACTAATGGAAGTAAAACCTAGTATAGAATAAAAACCCCATTAAAGAAAACATTTTATATATTGGGGAAGAACAGATAGATAGCACCATTAAATAAACATTTTATATAATTCGATATTCTATAATTGAAGGGGTGTAATGGAGCAACGGTAAAGTTTTTTCCGTACAAGTTCGTCCAGTGGAAGCAGTCATTAGTATTTACATTACAGTAGGTTATCTGGTCTTCTAAAACACACTCCTTGAGTGTGACCCTTCTTCTGACCCTGCGTAAATGCGAGATGCCACATAATTATGAGTACATGCCCTCGGATAATCGCGGTTTTGCTTGAGCAAAAAATGGCACGGTACAAAAAAGATTACATCCCGATTTCTCATTGAAGTCATTGCACGGAGAGTTTGGTGGTAAGTTCCAAGAAAATCCTTGAAGTAGCCTAGCAAGTAACATGGTAGTAATTGTAGAACCAAGTTTCACACCGGGATAACCTCGTCGTCCAGTACTAAATGACAACAAGTGTAACTCTAAATCATTGAGAACTACTTCACCACCTTCCTCCTTGAGATGGTGCTCTGGCTTGAACTTCATGGGATCCTCCAAAACCCTAGGGTTCCGACCAAGTCCAAGACGACTTAATAGCACTACACTCCCTTTGGGAATGAAGGATTCACCCACAATAGTATCAGAAACTGACTCATGAGGCACGTTAAAAGGCGTCAAGGGGTGGAGCCGAAAGGCCTCTCTAAGGCAAGCTTTGACATAATTTAGCTGTGGCAGGTCAGATTCTTGAACTAATCTATTTCTCCCAAAGACGGTGTCAATCTCTTCTAAGGCCCTTTGCATTATCTGTGGTTCGTTCAACATTTCTTTGATTGCAAATTCAACTGCATTTGAGGGATTATCTACCGTTGCAAACATGAGTTCCTGTCAAAATTATTTGAAACAACCAATAATGTCAAACAAAATAACCATATTTGATTTTTTCCCAGAAAACAAACTTGTGTTTTCGAAATCAAAAATATTTTCCACAAACAAAAGGATGTAATTTTAAACAGACAATCTCTAAAGTTAATTTTTCCAAAAAGACAGACAATCTCAAAAGTTTTGGAACTTGTGGTCTTAAACATGTCATGATATTTTTGTAGCCGTAAAAACATGTCAGTAAATGAAAATAAAAAATTTAAAGTTAAAATTATTTTCAAATATAGTGAGTTGTCGTTCTTTAATCTCTTGACCAAAATTGTAATTTGCCATATCGTTCACATATATAGTTTAAGGAATTGAAAGTATACTTACAAGGACTTGCGCCTTAATCTCTTTAACATTCATCAATGGATTTCCATTGGTATCTTTGAGCCTGGTGAGAACATCAAGGATGTCTTCTTTCACATGAGCTTTGTTGCTATCTTGCCAAATTTGAAACCTTTGGTCAATGATCATGATCAATCAGTTTTGTTGCTTTGACATAGGCTTTCTTGATAATTGCCTTGTGACCATCTAAATCAAATCCACTTAACCATGGCAAATATTCTGAGATACTAAAAGAAAAGAGATAACCAAGAAGTGTGAAGAGTGCTTCAACTTGTTCTTCGTCTTCTTCTTCTACACTTGGTCCTCCATTTTTTCCCGTTATTCTTTTTCCTAGTAATCTCTTGCTGAAAATCATATTCTTAACAACATTTGCACAGTAATATCTGGTCACTTTCCTCAAGTTAATAGTAACAGGTTCGTCGATACTGCAATATTGATTGTATACAAATCGAAGAAGGTGGTCAGCTTCTTCATCCCTTTTATGACGAAGCCATTGATGAGATGATTGTGAGAGGACATGGGAACCAAGAAATCTTCTCATTTTCATCCATTGATCACCAATAGGGAGAAAAACAGAGGTCAAGTAGCCATTGCTAACGAGGGTGGCAGACATGCAAGTACGCCTCGACGAGAAAAGAGAGTCTTGCTCCCTTAAGAATTGGCAAGCAAGCTCAGGAGAAGTGACAACAATGACATGGAAACTCCCAAGACGAATGCAAGCAATTTCAGTTTCCATTTCCTCCATAAGTTTGTGTATCCACTGATATGTTGGCTTCTTCTTTAGTAGCATTTGAGGAAAGCAGGCCATGGTTTTGTACCTGGAGGCAATAATGGCTTTTTGGTTTTCTCGTTTCTTGCACTACTCCATGACTTGCGTGTTATCTTAAGGATTGTGGAAAAGAATATTTTCCATATTATAATAATGGAGACGACAATATGAAAAAGATTAACAAGGTTTGGCAATTTAAAGTTGCTGATCATGATTTTCCTTGTGATTGCTGAAGGCTATGTTTCAAAGGCAGCATGCTATCCACTATTTATAGCTCTTCATGAGCTTGCAGTTTAGTACTTTCAGGTTCTATAAACTACTTTACATATGTAATTACTCCTACTATCTTTTACCATGAACGGTATCCTTGGAACAACGGTAAAATTGGCTCCGTTTGACCTATAGGTCGCGGGTTCGAGCTGTGAAAGCAGCTACTAATGCTTTTATTAGGGTATGCTATCTACATCACATTTCTTAGGGTACAACATTTCCCCGAATCCTGCATGAATACGGGATGCTTTGTGCATCGGGCTGCCCTTTACTATTTTTACAAAAAGAATTAACCCAAATAGCCGCCTACCTAACCACTTAAACTAAAATAGCTGGTTAAGGTATAATATATGCATAATTTATGTATTATATATGTATGATCGTGTATAATGATCAATGTATAAATTTATATATGTGGCTAGAAAAATATACGATGAATATGACCAGCTATTCGTATAAAAGATCCCTTTTACAAGTGACTGTTCTAATTCAGGAAGATGGGCTCGGTCTTTGGCTGCTCTAAAATGAGTATTTTAACCAAATTGCATGGGGTAGCCACTTTTTAAAGTGGTAATTACTTTTTATCCAGCATTTTTAATGTTGAACAAAAGTAGCCACCAGTCTATTAAAATTAATATGAAAAGACGGTGTTACCCTTTCTTCTATCTCTTTTCTGTCCATGTTCTCTTCCTTGCCAATCTCCCCGTCCCTTTTCTCATGAATTTAGTAACGGCCACACATGGCCTCTACCTCCTACATCACGTTCAAATCCCTGCAACAAACTCATCTCAAACTATATTACTTCACTCACTACAACTCAAACTATATTACTTCACTCACTACAGTAAGCATTCTTTAAAGTTTCACTCTTCTTTACATACTCTCCTTTCTGCACCAACAAAATACACACTTGGAATTTTGCCCTCCATTGAAGTTAAAGCATAGGTCACTCACTTGGAAACAATATTGTCCTTTGAACTAGAGCAAGAAATATCAGGCAATAGAACTAATAATGAAAATAGCTCTGTAGAAATATCAGGTAGTAGAACTTATACTGAATTCACAGGTAGTCCTGACCTTAGAGTTCCAAGTTCAAAAAATAAGGACATGTAGTCCTGAACTTAGAGTTACAAGTTCAAAAGTTAAGGAGATGTAGTCCTGAACTTAGAGTTACAAGCTCAAAAACTAAGGACAGGTAGTCCTTAACTTAGATTTACAAGCTCATAAATTAAGGACAGTTAGTCTTGAACTTACAGTAACAAGCTCATAAGTTAAGGACACTTGGTCCTGAAATTAGAGTTGGAAGTTCAAAAATTAAGGACACTTGTCCTTGACTTAGAGTTACAAGCACAGAAATTAAGGACAGGTAGTCTTGAACTTCGAGTTCCAAGTTCAAAAGTTAAGGACATGTAGTCCTGAACTTAGAGTTACAAGCTCAAAAACTAAGGGCGGGTAGTCCTTAACTTAGACTTACAAGCTCATAAATTAAGGACATTTGGTCTTGAACTTTATGAGCAAAAGGGTATTTTTGTCCGGGCAAGTAAAAGTTTATTAAAACAGTGACTAAAGACTAATGACATTTTAAACAGTGACTTAAAAATAAATACATATCTTATTACTGGCTACCTGTGAACAGTGGCGGAGGCAGGATCTCTATGAAGGGGTTCAAAAAATATTTTTTTGTAGCTAATGGGAATTGAACCAATAACCTTACAAAGGTTTTGAACCTCCTTGACCACTAAACTACACTTTTAGATTGTGTTAAGAAGGTTCAAAACTTAATATATAGAGATAAAAAACAGATTTTGCCTTATAGTTATATATACAATATAATTTTTCGGCGAAGAGGGTTCACCAACCCCCTTCCGCCCCTCTAAATCCTCCCCTGCCTGTGAACTTAGCCCTCAAATACACTTTAACGGAACAAAACCCCAATTATCAGAAAAGGAACTAGTGCAATGCCCCCATTAATGATACGACACTACTGCTGGTTCTTTCTCCTTTTTTATTTTAGTGTTTTGCGTTCACGTTCCTAGGCAATAAAGATATTTTACTTAGGATGCTTAGTTCCTTCAAAATTAGGGATAAAGTGCTCCTTCAGCAACCAAAGAGATTTTCATTTTTTTAGAGTTTAATCTAAACCTCTTATTAAAAGTGAATAAACTTTCAACTTTTTACTGTACATTTTGTCGGTCTCGGCTAATTCGCACGTGAATCATGCACATTTAGGCTCTCAAATCATTGGCTCCATACTCTGAAAAGCTAGTAGTGGTCTAGATGATACCTCCCATTTGTGGCTGTTAGACTCTAGTCATTACCACAAGCCACTGCCGGTGGAAAAATATCAAAAGAGATATTATTCTTATTAGTTTCATATAACATTCCATCCCGCTAGTGATATTGTCCGCTCTACTTTCACGGATATAAAATATGTTATTAGGGTCTAAAACTTATTAACTTATATACCTATTATTCCTCTTGTGTTTTGCCGATGTAAAACTCTGTCTAAAATCTGGTGTATTGTATTTCAAGGATCGGATCATGATTATTATTAAGATAAATTCAAAAAGGTACAAGACCGCATAAAAGAAGCCATGACGTTCTTTTTTATGATCTAGTAAACACATTTAGGGGTCGTTTGGTAGGGTGTATAAGAATAGTGCGGAATAAGGTGTATTAGTAATGTATGGATTAGTAATGCATGTGTTAATAATGCAAACATTAATTATGCAGATATTATTTCTTATCTACTGTTTGGTGTGGTGTATTAAAATTATAATGCATTGCATAATTTTTAAGAAAAATAGTTGTTTACAAAAATGCCCTCCATATTCTCTACCTTTAAGGGACTTTAAGGACAATTGTGTCTTTAACCATACTAATTCATGCATTAATAACCTTGATATTACTAATGCCATAGTTTTCTATGCATTACTTATACATAGGATAATACCAAGTATGATGTATAACTAATACATGTATAACTAATACAAGTATTAGTTATACATAAATTGAAAAAATGTACCAAACAAGGTTTTAGTAATGTATAGAGCTAATGCTTGCATTATGTTTTCTAATACCTCCTACCAAACGACCCCTTATAGTTAAGCTGAATTTATATGCTTAAGTATTATTCCTAGCCCATTGAACAATCTTCTTGCTCGACCCATCGACATTTTAAGTTATATCGAAATAGATTTTACAAAAAATCAACTATAGTCAAACCTAGATTGGCCTTCACCCCTAGTGACAGCAGGGGCGGAGCTCGTAGCACCAATTGATTATTAGAGCATAAGTTAACCATCAGCTACTTTACTGCTTTCTTTACTGCTTTGATCAATTCTTTAGCTAGTAGTTAGAATTTTGTTATTCCTTTATTTTCTCAAATAAATCTCCTTATTCAAGGAGTTTGTTTAGCAAGTAGTTTGGTCCTCCTCTTTCATAGGAGTTAGTGTAGGGAATTGGTTTTTCACTCTTGTATTTAAAGGTTGCTTTGATTCAGTAAACATATCAGCTTTTTGTGTTTTTCTTGATCATGAGCATTTCCTTAGACATGAAGAGTCAAAGAAAGCTCCTAGCCAGATCACTGCTGCTGCTGCTACATTCAACAAATATGGAAACTCGAACAATCGCAACAATCGTCGCTTTAACAATAACAATGGAAACAACCAACAATGGTGATGCAACAATAGCTTTAATTCACAAAATCGGGGTGCGATCTTTGAACACCAACAACTCTTATGATGGTGTTCGCTACCAGTTGTGTAACAAACTAGGTCATGTTGCAAGTGTATGCAGATCTTGATCTCACAATCCTTTTGAGGCCAACGCCAACTATGCTTCGGGAATGCACGCATCAACAAATCCATGGATTCTCGACTCTGGAGCATCTCACCACATAACTGATAATCCTCACAGCTTGCAGGAATATAATGGCATGAAGCAGGTCTCCATGGTTGATGGTAAAAAAATACCAATAACTCACACTAGTTTAAATCAATTACATGCATCAAATAATGCTTTTAAACTCTCTAACACTCTTTGTGATCCTAGCATTAAACGCAACTTACTCTCCGTCTCTAAATTTTGTCAAGATAACCTAACCTCTATTGAATTCTTTCCGTTTCATTTTTCTGTGAAGGACATGGAAACGCGGAATCCGTTGGTGTACGGTCAGAGTAGAGACTGTCTCTATGAGTGGCCAACCTCACCTTCCATATCTTCTCCTAAAGCGCATTTGGCCTCCACCAACACATCCATCTTCACCTGGCATCGTCGATTGGGCCATTCGCATGCAAGAGTTTTAAATTTTATTTTGAATAAATTCTCGCTACCTTGCTCGCGAGATAAATATTTAGCTTGTAATTCTTGTTCATCGAATAAGGCTCATCACCATCCTTTTCAGAATCTTACTTTATCAAGTACCAAACCATTTCGAACAATATTTAGTGATTTAGGGGTCCTTCTCAGATTTTATCGATTGACAAAAAAATCACATTACTGTATTTTTGTTGATCAATACACCAAATATACTTGGCTATATACATTAAAAATAAAAATGAGGTTAAAGACCTTTTCAAAAATTATCAAGCATTAATGGAACGTCGTTTCAATACAAAAATTCTTTCTATATATACTGATAGTAGTGGCGAATATAAAAGTCTTGATCCATACCTAAGTTCTCATGGTATCCATAATCTTTTATCTTTACTTCATGAAGCTTCGCTTCCACCGACTCTTTGGTCATTTGCTTGTCAACATGCGGTTTA